GCCCAAAGAGCTTGTCCAAAAACCCATGTTTGTCATTGACTGCTGGAGGGAGGTCATCTATCCACATCTTTAAGTTGCTCTCAGACCTGCAACCAACACCAAGAAAGGTCTGCCAACTGCAGAAATGTGAAGGGGATTTGCCACCCATGCAAAAACAAGAGTGAAGCTATCTCAAAAGATTCATCAGAGGACTGGATGACATTAAAATTCAGACGTTTATGCGATTCTGCAGTGGATCAGATCTTATAGTAACAAATAGCATTTATGTGGAATTTCAAGATATGAAAGATTTCACAAGATGACCAATGGGACACACATGTGGGAGCATTCTACAAACAGCTGACAGCTATGAAAACTTCCCTGACTTCTGTTCTAAATTTAACGCAGTTCTTGAGAGCAATGTGTGGGTAATGGACTAGACTCTTAACTCTCCACTACATTCTAACTACTTATGCAGACTACAGCAGGGCTGCAAAAAGATATAGATTATACATTTTGAGTTTTCGCTAAAATATTCCTGTTTCTTTTATTATGCCTATTTTCAGATCCTATAATTGAAATTGTCAAGTACGAATGACTACGATGTTTATTACTATAACAGGAGATGTTTTCACCACATCCAAGTTCTCCAGCTGTATGCTAGAAAATAGGCAACAAAAAGAAAAATTATTACTAGAGATTTATAAATCAGTATGAAATTTTTACTTTGTTTTCCTAAATATTTCACATTTTTTGTGACAATTTGGAACAATCAGACTCTTGTAAGTAAGGAGTAAGAATAATTAATCCAGGTTTAGTTTTCTTTACAGCTTGTACAATTGTTAGTTAAGGTAAGTTGAGGTATCAGACTTCTTTTATTGCATTTGAACATAAATGACAATTGAAAATTACAAAAAATGTGTCTATGGCTTTTCCAGGATTGTCTAAAAATCTCATTGATTCTTAGCATATATATGTTTCATACACATATCAGGTTTAATAAGTTCTTGTGATGATTTTACTGACCCTTATGTTATAAATGGAAACTTTACAAGGGAGTGAGCTAATCGTGAGCTCTGATATTTGCTCCAAATTCGGTACGCAGGCAGAATCCAGCAGAAGTCAGAGGGCAGGTCAGGCAAACAGATCAGAATGGGGACAGGAAGGCAAAACGGGTCAGGATCAGGCAATCAGAAACATTCAGGTACGCTAGAGAACTCTCTCCAAAGGCTCGGAAATAATCTCGACCTGACAACTGATTGAAGACTGGGTAAAAAGAGGCTGAATCAGATGGATCAGATGAATGGTAATGAGAACTAGGTGGAGGCAGGTAAATTAAATTAGTAATCAGGCCAGTCATTAGCGCCAAGATCATGATATAAGTGCTCACTATCCAAAAAGAAAAACAATAAAACTTTTATAAAAGTCTGTGAATTAATACAGAAATCCAATGGAAACATAAAACAGATTCAAATGTTGAACTAAACCAATGAAACCATTATTAACTATGGAAAAATAAACAATGAACACTAAACAAAAACATCTATAAAAGGTGGAGTAAGAGCCATTTTCTTTGGCAAGGAACCTTCTCCCTCCCTCACAATCTGCAGCGAGCTGAAGCCACCTTTTCAAACTCCCCTCGACTCTCAGCAACTACACCAACAATAGTGTTTCTGTGTACTGCACCTATGAAAATCAGAATGTGACTAAATAAAACATTAATAATTATTACCTCCCCAAAGGAGGTAATATAATGACAGTGTTATTTCCTTCCATCCATTTGCGTCCTAGCAGAATAACTCAAAAAGCAGATGTGGATTACATTTTTAGGGAACGTTAATAAATGAATTGATAAATAAGTGGATGTTGCTAACAATAAGAACAAGTTTAATTTTTACTACTGATCTGAATAAGCCTTTGGATCCAGTAAGAATTTTAAGGATTCTGTATCATTGCTTTGATAAAACAGATCAAGTAAGAGTACCTACAAAAACACATCCCTAAGTATTGTTTGGGCCCTCCGACTGGCCCTGTGAAAAAAATAAATAAATAAATAAATAAATATATATATATATATATATATATATATATAT